GTTCTGTTCTAGTTCTGTTCTAGTTCTGTTCTAGTTCTGTTCTAGTTCAGTTCTAGTTTTGTTCTAGTTCGTTTCTAGTTCTGTTCTAGTTCTGTTCTAGTTCTGTTCTTGTTCTGTTCTAGTTCTGTTCTAGTTCTGTTTTAGTTCTGTTCTAGTTCTGTTCTAGTTCTGTTCTAATTATGTTCTAGTTATGTTCTAGTTATGTTCTAGTTATGTTCTAGTTCTGTTCTAGTTCTGTTCTAGTTCTGTTCTAGTTCTGTTCTAGTTCAGTTCTAGTTCTGTTCTAGTTCTGTTCTAGTTCTGTTCTAGTTCTGTTCTAGTTCTGTTCTAGTTCAGTTCTAGTTCTGTTCTAGTTCTTTTCTAGTTCTGTTCTAGTTCTGTCCTAATTATATTCTAGTTCTGCACTAGTTGTGTTCCAGCTCAGTTCTCGTTATCTACTAGTTTAGTTTTAGCTCAGTTCTAGTTCATTTATATGCATGTATATAAGATTTGTCAATTTTAATTTTCTTTAAAATGTTTAGTAATTATTTTGGTTTTTTGTTATTGTATTCTAACTGTTAAAAAATTGCTCGGTACCTTTTCAATTTAGTTAAAATCTTACATTTTAAAACCTTTTACTTTAAGCTTTCTCTTTGACATTTTATTTAATTCTCTCCCATGCGCTTTTTCCCCCTTAATCCTTTAAGTATGCTTTAATTTTTACTGTTTTTTACCAGTATGTATATTGTAAGCTCAAATGTTATCTTATCCACTCAGTTGAATTTTCATGCTTTCTTTTAGTTTTAATACGTTTTTAACAGTTTACAAAAAAATAAATCTCTTGTTGCAAATTGTCATTGCAATTTTTTTAGTTAAAAAAAAAACGAAAATATTTAAAATAAAATATTGGCTTGAGCGACCATAAAATATAGTTTTGTAACATACAGACAGACATTGTTGCCAAGTAAGGACTAACGAGCTAAATGTGGAAGTGGTTTAAATTTAAAAAATAAACCAAAAATGTAAAAAGAATTATAAAACCACGTTTCTTCAAAGAATTTGGTTTTAAAGATAATTTTATTTCTATATCTTCTATATCCGTTAAATCCAATTTTCCCATTAAATACAGAAAAATGACTGAAAGCCACTAAAAACAAACCTGAACATGCAAATTCTCTGTAACATTGTGCTTATTAAAGACACTCAAGCAAATACAAAATAAACGCATTTAAATAAATGCGAACGCATGCATATTCATGCAGTTACATGCATATAACCAAAACGAAAAAAAAAAAATACACACACTTTACAATCATATGAATTCTAAAAACCACCTTTTATTTACAAGGAAACGTTTAAATTTTGAACAGATACCAACAGACAACAAATGTAAACACACACTTGTTCAAAACACACACACACAAACACTCTCACTTCACCAAATCCACATTTTCTCTTTAAAACACACCTCCCCCTTCCACGCCTTAATTTAAAAAGTATATTTGCATATAAAGGCATCCTAAAAATATACTACACATTCCATTACATTTGTTAACATACACACACCTTTAAATTTCACATACATAGTACATCTATAAGTGTTTGTGTATAACTGTGTAATATTTTACTACTATTTCTATAAAAATCCTTGCAACCTGTGTCTGTGTCGTAGCATTTGAGTTTTTTATGTCGATTATCTTTTTTTTGCTTTTTTGTTGCATTGAACTTAAAATCAGCTTTAAAAATGATTTATAGTTAAACAGCTCAAAAGTGCATATAAACCTGGCAACTTGAACAAAATGTTGAAAAACTCTTCCGTTTCTTTTTTTTGTCTTTATTCTACCAGCGCCACCACTTTTACAAACATAATCATGAATAGATTCGGTGTCGCGCTAGCTTCCTTGTTGCTTTTGGTCATGATTTATTAAAGGCTTTACAGTGGGCTTACTAAACTGAAGTAAACTGGAATTGAAACAGAACTGAACTAAACTAGATAAGGCTATATATTAGATTTTAGGTTATATATACTAGACTATAAACTATACTACGGAATAGACTATACTGTAGACTATACACTAGAACAGAACTAGAACAGTACCAGAACAGAACTAGAACTGAAAAGAAACTAGACAAGATTATATATTAGGTTATACTATAGACTATACTAGAACAGAACTAGAACGGAACTAGAACAAAACTTGAACAGAACTTGAACAGAACTAGAACGGAACTAGAACAGAACTAGAACAGAACTAGAACAGAACTAAAACACAACTAAAACAGAATTAGAACAGAATTAAAACAGAATTAAAACAGAACTAGAACAGAACTAGAACAGAACTAGAACAGAACTAGAACAGAACTAAAACAGAACTAGAACAGAACTAGAACAGAACTAGAACAGAACTAGAACAGAACTAGAACAGAACTAGAACAGAACTAGAACAGAACTAGAACAGAACTAGAACAGAACTAGAACAGAACTAGAACAGAACTAGAACAGAACAGAACTAGAACAGAACTAGAACAGAACAGAACTAGAACAGAACTAGAACAGAACTAGAACAGAACTAGAACAGAACTAAAACAGAACTAGAACAGAACTAGAACAGAACTAGAACAGAACTAGAACAGAACTAGAACAGAACTAGAACAGAACTAGAACAGAACTAGAACAGAACTAGAACAGAACTAGAACAGAACTAGAACAGAACAGAACAGAACTAGAACAGAACTAGAACAGAACTAGAACAGAACTAGAACAGAACTAGAACAGAACTAGAACAGAACTAGAACAGAACTAGATCAGAACTAGAACAGAACTAGAAAAGAACTAGATTAGAACTAGACTAAAACTAGATTAGAACTAGAACAGAACTAGAACAGAAGTAGAACAGAACTAGAACAGAACTAGAACAGAACTAGAAAAGAACTAGAACAGAACTAGAACAGAACTAGAACAGAACTAGAACAGAACTAGAACAGAACTAGAACAGAACTAGAACAGAACTAGAACAGAACTAGAACAGAACTAGAACAGAACTAGAACAGAACTAGAACAGAACTAGAACAGAACTAGAACAGAACTAGAACAGAACTAGAACAGAACTAGAACAGAACTAGAACAGAACTAGAACAGAACTAGAACAGAACTAGAACAGAACTAGAACAGAACTAGAACAGAACTAGAACAGAACTAGAACAGAACTAGAACAGAACTAGAACAGAACTAGAACAGAACTAGAACAGAACTAGAACAGAACTAGAACAGAACTAGAACAGAACTAGAACAGAACTAGAACAGAACTAAAACAGAACTAAAACAGAACTAAAACAGAACTAGAACAGAACTAGAACAGAACTAGAACAGAACTAGAACAGAACTAAAACAGAACTAAAACAGAACTAAAACAGAACTAGATCAGAACTAGAACAGAACTAGAAAAGAACTAGATTAGAACTAGACTAAAACTAGATTAGAACTAGAACAGAACTAGCAAAGAACTAGAACAGAACTAGAACAGAACTAGAACAGAACTAGAACAGAACTAGAACAGAACTAGAACAGAACTAGAACAGAACTAGAACAGAACTAGAACAGAACTAGAACAGAACTAGAACAGAACTAGAACAGAACTAGAACAGAACTAGAACAGAACTAGATCAGAACTAGAACAGAACTAGAACAGAACTAGAACATAACTAGAACAGAACTAGAACAAAACTAGAACAGAACTAGAACAGAACTAGAACAGAACTAGAACAGAACTAGAACAGAACTAGAACAGAACTAGAACTGGACTAGAATTGCACCAGATATTATTTTGAAAAGATGTTTCTAGAGAAATAAAAATTTGTTTAGAAAAACCTTTAGTAGTCGATAGCTTCCAATTAGTATCATCCAATATAGTTTGCCTCAGCAACAATTCCATTGAATTTTTTACTTTTGTATCATGTTCTTTTCATAAAACACTTTCAATTTTTTTCTGTTTGCCATTCATTCATGCAACAATTTATTCTATTGAAATTAAATTAAAAAATGTAGAAAAAATAAACTTTTATTATTATTTAATATATAAGAGAGAAATCAAAAAAGTCAAAAACTAATTAAGTCGTTTAAAAATACAGAAAAAAACAACTAGAGCAAAAAATAGAAAATTGTTAAATGTGTATGTGTGCGTGTGTGTGTGCAAAACTATAATGAAAACAATTTATGAATGATGAAAAAAAATTGAATGAAAATAAAATAAATGTTCTATTCGAACTTATAGACACCAGCAATAGCAGACGTTATTAGGCGTAGAAATTGAGTCCATTAATGAATGTGTATAGAAATTAATCATTAACTTTGTTAGTGGCTGAGACCACGGAAAGGGAAGTGTGACAGTGTCGGATCTTTTTTATGTTGTTGTGTTTTTTTTTTTATAAATTATACAGCGTCAGGTTCATGGAGATCAAAATAGTTTGTATTTATTATTGTAAAATTGGAAGAATGAATGAATTTTTGCACGTTATATTTTTATTATATAAAAAATAGTAAATTGTAGCAATTTAAAAATAATTTGATTGCGTAAAAATTTTTAAATATTTAATTCAGAAATAGACATCTCTAGAGTAATAAGTACTTAAACTAACTCCCCAAAGTAGACTTTAATATTATATCAATTGCAGCGCCTTAACGATTGACCATCATTTGCTTAACTTACTATCTATAGACTTCATTTCAATTCAAACTGTTTAATTTTAATACCTTTCAAAGCCCACATTACTATTATTCATATCACTAAGCATGTTTTGTATATTTTAAAGCTCATTTGTATTCATCTGTGTTTCGCTCTAATGTACAAATCTCTTTAAGCCTAAAAGTAGACCATACATATGCATATGTAAATTTGTTTGCTTAACAAATTTAAGAAGTCAAACATAATTTGGTTTAGTTTAGCTTAATTTTGTTATATTTTCCAATAATGTACTATTTAGTTAACATATTTTAATATATTTTTCGTATTTTTTTTTTCCAGATATTTTACGACTTAATGAGGTTTAAAGGAAACGGTGAGTTTTATTCGAATTTTTGTTTATTCTGCTTCTTTTTCAAAAAAACTACAAAATCACACTATAGACTATAGGTTATAATCTACACCATAAATAAGACTATAGACTGGACTATGGACTAGACTATGGACTAAACTATAAACTAGACTATAGACTAGACTGTAGACTAGACTGTAGACTAGACTATAGACTATAAACCATAAACTAGCCTATAGTCAAGGCTATAGGCTAGTTTATGGTTTATAGTCTATAGTCTAGTCTATAGGTTATAATCTACACCATAAATAAGACTATAGACTAGACTAAAGACTAGACTATAGAATTAGACTGTAGACTTGACTATATAGACTAGACTAGGTTGTAGACTATACTATAGACTAGACAATAGACTATGTTATAGACTATACTATAAACTAGACTATAGACTAGACAATAGACTAGACAATAGACTAGACAATAGACTAGCCAATAGACTAGACAATAGACTAGACAATAGACTAGACAATAGACTAGACAATAGACTAGACAATAGACTAGATTATAGACTAGACAATAGACTAGACAATAGACTAGATTATAGACTAGACTATAGACTAGACTATAGACTAGACTATAGACTAGACTATAGACTAGACTATAGACTAGACTAAAGACTAGACTATAGACTAGACTAGACTAGATAGACTAGACTATAGACTAGACTATAGACTAGACTATAGACTAGACTATAGACTAGACTATAGACTAGACTATAGACTAGACTATAGACTAGACTATAGACTAGACTATAGACTAGACTATAGACTAGACTAGACTAGACTATAGACTAGACTATAGACTAGGCTATAGACTATAGACTAAACTATAGACTAAACTATAGACTAAACTATAGACTAGACTATAGACTAGACTATACTATAAACTAGACTATAGACTAGACTATACTATAAACTAGACTATAGACTAGAGTAGACTATAGACTATACTATAAACTAGACTATAGACTAGACTATACTATAGACTAGAGTAGACTATAGACTAGACTATAGACTAGACTATAGATTAGACTATAGATTAGACTATAGACTAGAATATAGACCAGACTATAGACTAGACTATAGACTAGACTATAGACTAGACTATAGACTAGACTATAGACTAGACTATAGACTAGACTATAGACTAGACTATAGACTAGACTATAGACTAGACTATAGACTAGACTATAGACTAGACTAGACTATAGACTATAGACTAGACTAGACTAGACTATAGACTATACTATAGACTAGACTATAGACTAGACTATAGACTAGACTATAGACTAGACTATAGACTAGACTATAGACTAGACTATAGACTAGACTATAGACTAGACTAGACTATAAACTAGACTATAGTCTAGATTATAGACTAGACTATAGACTAGACTATAGACTAGACTATAAACTAGACAATAACTAGACTATAGACTAGACTATAGACTAGACTATAGACTAGACTATAGACTAGACTATAGACTAGACTATAGACTAGACTATAGACTAGACTATAGACTAGACTATAGACTAGACTATAGACTAGACTATAGACTAGACTATAGACTAGACTATAGACTAGACTATAGACTAGACTATAGACTAGACTATAGACTAGACTATAGACTAGACTATAGACTAGACTATAGACTAGACTATAGACTAGACTATAGACTAGACTATAGACTAGACTATAGACTAGACTATAGACTAGACTATAGACTAGACTATAGACTAGACTATAGACTAGACTAATACTATAGACTATACTATAGACTATACTATAGACTATACTATAGACTAGACTATAGACTAGACTATAGACTAGACTATAGACTAGACTATAGACTAGACTATAGACTAGACTATAGACTAGACTATAGACTAGACTATAGACTAGACTATAGACTAGACTATAGACTAGACTATAGACTAGACAATAGACTAGACAATAGACTAGACAATAGACTAGACAATAGACTAGACTATAGACTAGACTATAGACTAGACTATAGACTAGACTAGACTATAGACTAGACTATAGACTAGACTATAGACTAGACTATAGACTAGACTATAGACTAGACTATATACTAGACTATAGACTAGACTATAGACTAGACTATAGACTAGGCTATAGACTAGACTATAGACTAAACTATAGACTAAACTATAGACTAGACTATAGACTAGACTATACTATAAACTAGACTATAGACTAGACTATACTATAAACTAGACTATAGACTATACTATAAACTAGACTATAGACTAGACTATACTATAGACTAGAGTAGACTATAGACTAGAGTAGACTATAGACTAGACTATAGACTAGACTATAGACTAGACTATAGACTAGAATATAGACCAGACTATAGACTAGACTATAGACTAGACTATAGACTAGACTATAGACTAGACTAGACTATAAACTAGACTATAGTCTAGATATAGACTAGACTATAGACTAGACTATAGACTAGACTATAACTAGACAATAAACTAGACTATAGACTAGACTATAGCTAGACTAGACTATAGACTAGACTATAGACTAGACTATACTAGACTATAGACTAGACTATAGACTAGACTATAGACTAGACTATAGACTAGACTATAGACTAGACTATAGACTAGACTATAGACTAGACTATAGACTAGACTATAGACTAGACTATAGACTAGACTATAGACTAGACTATAGACTAGACTATAGACTAGACTATAGACTAGACTATAGACTAGACTATAGACTAGACTATAGACTAGACTATAGACTAGACTATAGACTAGACTATAGACTAGACTATAGACTAGACTATAGACTAGACTATAGACTAGACTATAGACTAGACTATAGACTAGACTATAGACTAGACTATAGACTAGACTATAGACTAGACTATCGACTAGACTATAGACTAACTAGACTAGACTATAGACGAGACTATAGACTATAGACTAGACTATGACTAGACTATAGACTAGACTATAGACTAGACTATAGACTAGAGCTATAGACTAGACTATAGACTAACTATAGACTAGACTATAGACTAGACTATAGACTAGACTATAGACTAGACTATAGACTAGACTATAGACTAGACTATAGACTAGACTATAGACTAGACTATAGACTAGACTATAGACTAGACTATAGACTAGACTATAGACTAGACTATAGACTAGACTATAGACTAGACTATAGACTAGAACTATAGACTAGACTATAGACTAGACTATAGACTAGACTATAGACTAGACTATAGACTAGACTATAGACTAGACTATAGACTAGACTATAGACTAGACTATAGACTAGACTATAGACTAGACTATAGACTAGACTATAGACTAGACTATAGACTAGACTATAGACTAGACTATAGACTAGACTATAGACTAGACTATAGACCGAGACTATAGACTAGACTATAGACTAGACTATAGACTAGACTATAGACAGACTATAGACTAGACTATAGACTAGACTATAGACTAGACTATAGACTAGACTATAGACTAGACTATAGACTAGAATATAGACTAGACTATAGACTAGACTATAGACTAGACTATAGACTAGACTATAGACTAGACTATAGACTAGACTATAGACTAGACTATAGACTAGACTATAGACTAGACTATAGACTAGACTATGACTAGACTATAGACTAGACGATAGACTAGAATATAGACGTAGACTATAGACTAGACTATAGACTAGCTTAGACTAGACTATAGACTAGACTATAGACTAGACATAGACTAGACTAAGACTAGATATAGACTAGACTATAGACTAGACTATAGACTAGACTATAGACTAGACTATAGCAGACTATAGACTAGACTATAGACTAGACTATAGACTAGACTATAGACTAGGACTATAGACTAGACTATAGACTAGACTATAGACTAGACTATAGACTAGACTATAGACTAGACTATAGACTAGACTATAGACTAGACTATAGACTAGACTATAGACTAGACTATAGACTAGACTATAGACTAGACTATAGACTAGACTATAGACTAGACTATAGACTAGACTAGATGACTACAAGACTATAGACTAGACTATAGACTAGACTATAGACTAGGCTATAGACTAGAATATAGACTAGACTATAGACTAGACTATAGACTAGATTATAGACTAGTCTATAGACTAGACTATATACTATAGACTAGACTATAGACGAGACTATATACTAGACTATAGACTAGACTATAGACTAGACAATAGACAAGACTATATACTAAATTATAGACTAGACTATATACTAGACTATAGACTAGACTATAGACTAAACTATAGACTAGACTATAGACTTGACTATAGAACTAGACTATAGACTAGACTATAGACTAGACTATAGACAAGACTATAGACTAGACTATAGACTAGACTATAGACTAGACTATAGACTAGGTTATAGACTAGACTATAGAATAGAATATAGACTAGACTATAGACTAGACTATAGACTAGAATATAGACTAGACTATAGACTAGAATATAGACTAGACTATAGACTAGACTATAGACTAGACTATAGGCTAGACTATAGGCTAGACTATAGACTAGACTATACTATATACTAGAATATAGACTAGGGTATAGACTAGACTGTAGACTGGAATATAGACTGGACTATAGACTAGACTAAAGACTTCAATTTATTATTGATGAGACTATAATCTAGACTTCATCTGAATTTAGCTAAATATTTTTCTTTAAAGACAATTTAGAAAGTAAAAATTTTAAGAAAAAATTAAATGCCCCGAGTGAGGCTCGAACTCACGACCTTAAGATTATGAGACTTACGCGCTGCCTACTGCGCCATCGAGGCTATGAAAAACTGGTTTTAAAGATTTCTTAAAAATATTACAAGTCTCGAATGCAATTTTCTTAGAAAAAATATTTCATTAGTTTTCATTAAAAATTTTTAACAAAATAATTTAAGGTAATAACCGTTTTTTTGAAAAATCGTGCCAATTTTGATTTAAAGAAATTTGCAACGTTTTTTAAGGATTTTTTGCAATTTCTCTTGGTTGCAATTCTGTTGTAATACTTTTAGTTGTGTGCAACAAAATCAAATGCCCCGAGTGAGGCTCGAACTCACGATGAAAGGCTCAAGGATATATACTAAATGTCCAAGTTAAAAATGGAATTGTTTTAAATTTCTTAAATTTAAGCTTAAGTTTTTAAAAGCTTTTCGAATTCTTTATATATATTAGAAACTTTAACAAAATAGCCCTGAGTGGTGTATGGTTGGAAGTTGCAAATTTCCTTAATGCAATTTTGTCCTGTGAAAAATAACAAATGCCCCGAGTGAGGCTCGAACTCACGACCTTAAGATTATGAGACTTACGCGCTGCCTACTGCGCCATCGAGGCTATGAAATAGAAGAATTAGAAAAGTGAATTTTTTAAAAATCTTTCTTAAACGTTTTAGAAATGTTCTAGTAGTTTGGAATTAAAATGCTTAAAAATGTCGTAGTTGTTTTTAGGCTTTAGGCCGATTTCAATGATAACGGGGCTAAGAATTTTTAATCAAAAACGTGGCTTTCATATTTTATATTTAGTCGTCCTTTGATCTAATTTGAATTGATATTTCCCATCTAGTTTGATTGTGTTTGTAAAAAGTCATATGCCCCGAGTGAGGCTCGAACTCACGACCTTAAGATTATGAGACTTACGCGCTGCCTACTGCGCCATCGAGGCTATGAAGTCCTGATTTTATCTGAAAAATAAAATGTGGAATGTTTGCTTTAAAGTCTTAAGAAATATTAAGTTTCCAAAACTCTTAAAGTTTTAAAGATTTCTAGTTTAAGTTTGTAATCCTTTCCTTAGGTCCTTCTTTATCAAAGAACTATAGGGTTAAAATAAACAATCTGCTAAATATTAAGCCGATTTCAGTCTCTTTAACATATACTTTTCCTACAACACTTTTATGCTTGAAGTTTGTAACTCCTAAAAGTATGCTGCTCTAATATTTGTATTAATATTATTGAATAATTTAAGTATTGAATGAGATATAGAAAAAAAAGTAACATGCCCCGAGTGAGGCTCGAACTCACGACCTTAAGATTATGAGACTTACGCGCTGCCTACTGCGCCATCGAGGCACTTAACATTTCAACAACAATTAAGCAGTTTTGTTGTTCTTTGTTCAAGGTTCTAGCTAAAGTTGATGTTGATGACGGCTATTTACTCTTCTTGATACTGTTCTCCCATAAAAGGTATCATTCGTGAGAAACAAAAGAATTTTTTTGTCGTAAAATCACTAAAATATTGGCGAAAATTTTATAAATATTTTTTTTTTCCTTTTTAGACCCATTGTGTTTAAATAAATTAATTATTTTTTTATTGTTTTCTTTTAAATTATTTGGTTTTATTCAATTCGCAATTTAAAATCCATTAAAAATAATTAATTTCTTTAGTTATACCTAAAAAATTGTCAAATTATTGTTTCAACTAACGCTTGTCGTCGGCAGTTTCTATTGTAAACAAACTGTATATGTTGTTTTTGCCTTTAGTGTGTTCACATGTGATCTCTCTTAATCGTTCTCTCTACTATTTGTATTTTATATTATTTTTAGTTTTTTTAATAATATTATTGTTGTTGTCTATTTAAAAAAACAATCTTAATTCTTTTCAACTGATAAAGACGATGACGAAAGTAAATACCAAAACAAACACCCCAGATATGTTATTAACATTAACGAATACATACCAAAATCCCCTGTTAAAAGTCAAATGTAAATAAACAACCAATTAACATATAAACTCTCTGCCACGCAGTTTCAATTTGTCAGCTGCGTTGGCATAGCCTCGATGGCGCAGTAGGCAGCGCGTAAGTCTCATAATCTTAAGGTCGTGAGTTCGAGCCTCACTCGGGGCATGAGTTTTTTTCTAAAACGAATAAAATTCTTTCATAAAAATTCTATATAAAACTTGACAGTTTTCTCTAATTAGTGCAATAATTAAGCTTTTCTAATAAGGAAAATCTCAGGTATTAGGAAGAAATTCTAAAAAAAAAGATTATTTTCCTTTTAAATTCTCGGAAAAAAGAAACAAAATTTCTACTTAAATTCCAAATCTCATAGCCTCGATGGCGCAGTAGGCAGCGCGTAAGTCTCATAATCTTAAGGTCGTGAGTTCGAGCCTCACTCGGGGCATTTGATTTTACCCAATTTCAATTACTACAAAATTCTTGTGTTCTCGATAACTTTAGAAAATCAACACAATATTTCATTAACACTTAATTGCGCACATAAAATTCTTAATATCTTGGGATATTTTGTTGAAATTTCGTTAAAATTTTAATATATAACAACGGAAATTACAAATATTGAATTTTAAAAAGTTCTTAAACCTTTATAAGAAAATTTAAAAAAAATATTATTCGAGACTTAAATTTTTCAATTTGTCCTTAAGTCTGACCTACATAGCCTCGATGGCGCAGTAGGCAGCGCGTAAGTCTCATAATCTTAAGGTCGTGAGTTCGAGCCTCACTCGGGGCATTTAGTTTTTTTTCAAAAAAAGTAACTGTATCCTTCTAAAGTTACTTATTAAACCAAGCTTTCTCTGATTAAATACAAAATATCTGTAATATTTTGTTAAAGATCAAGACTATTTTCAAATATTTTTATTAAATTAAAAGCGAAAATTAACAAAAATGCTTTCGAGACTTCAATATTTGGACTTTACGCCTTCCAGCTGTTAGTCATAGCCTCGATGGCGCAGTAGGCAGCGCGTAAGTCTCATAATCTTAAGGTCGTGAGTTCGAGCCTCACTCGGGGCAATAATTTTTTCAATTAATATTGGATATGTTAGTTCTAGTTCAATTCGTGAGTTCGAGCCTACAGTTCTAGTTCTGTTCTAGTTCTGTTCTAGTTCTGTTCTAGTTCCGTTCTAGTTCTGTTCTAGTTCTGTTCTAGTTCTGTTCTAGTTCAGTTCTAGTTCAGTTCTAGTTCAGTTATAGTTCAGTTCTGTTTTAGTTCAGTTCTAGTTCTGTTTTAGTTCTGTTCTAGTTCTGTTCTAGTTCTGTTCTAGTTCTGTTCTAGTTCTGTTCTAGTTCTGTTCTAGTGCTGTTCATGTTATGTTCTAGTTATGTTCTAGTTCTGTTCAAGTTCTGTTCTAGTTCTGTTCTAGTTCTGTTCTAGTTCTGTTCTAGTTCTGTTCTAGTTCTGTTCTAGTTCTGTTCTAGTTCTGTTCTAGTTCTGTTCTAGTTCTGTTCTAGTTCTGTTCTAGTTCTGTTCTAGTTCTGTTCTAGTTCTGTTCTAGTTCTGTTCTAGTTCTGTTCTAGTTCTGTTCTAGTTCTGTTCTAGTTCTGTTCTATTCTGTTCTGTTCGTGTTCTAGTTCTGTTCTAGCTTAGTTTTAGTTCTGTTCTAGTTCGGTTTTAGTTCTGTTCTAGTTATGTTCTAGTTTAGTTCTAGTTCAGTTCATTCCTAGTTCAGATCAATTCTAGTTAAGTTCCAGGTCAGTTTAAGTTCAGTTCGGTTTCAGTTCTGTTTCAGTTTAGTTCTGTTCTAGATCTGGACTAGTTCGGTTTTGGTTCAGTTCTAGATTAGTTATTGTTAAGTTCTACTAAATTTCCTTAACTTCTCTTCATTTCTATACTTTCTACTTTCATTCCAACCCTCGTTTAATATATATTATTTTATTATTCTTGAATTTTTTTAAATTTCATTGAATATTTTTCCTTAAACAAATAAAAACATCAATATTCTTATTTAATCTCGCCCCCTCAAAGTATGCACTGCTACATATTCAATAACTATAGCAGCGGACAGAAAATGAATTTTATAACAGAGTTTTTGTTTGTGAAAATGTTCATATGTAACATTTATCTTCGTTTCCCTATAACCAACTCTAGGTAAATAATGAATATTGCATTTTAATACCCTCTAGAAAATAAGAAAAAATCCATAGATTTAAAAAGAAAAACTATGCGAAAACTTTTCACAAATATGTCGCAAAAAACACACACCAACCTTTCCAATGATGACCGTCATCATCATCAACAGCATGTGGAAGAGTACTTGTGCAGTAGACTGTCTGTCTGTCTGCTTTCATATATTACTGAACTGACATCTAGGAGTAACCAAAGAATATTGATGGCTTTTGTAATAATAAAAGATTATTTTGTTAGCAACAAAATAAAAAAAAAACGAACTAAATGAATAAAATGAAAATTTAAACCAAAAGTCTTTAGTACAAAATATTGCCAACAAACGAGAGTAGAGAAATCAACATTGATTTATTTTTATTTCATTTAATTTTTCTTTTCTTTGCAACATTATTTTTCACATGAATTTTCAATGAAATGTTGCAAAAAAATATAAATTAAATTTTAATATTAAATACTTTCCTGGGTTTTTCCTTATTTATGGTCTTTTTTTACTTATTGCACTGAAGGCAAGCGAAAATATGGACATAAGCCCATTAAAAGTTTTCAGAAAGAAAAAACAGAGGGCAAAGGTCTTAACAAAGAAAGGACAACCCGAAATGATAGTTAAATAAGGAAATTAAAATAATACAGTTATGTTAAGAAAAATAGCAATTAAATAGAAAGGATTGCGAAAAAGAACAGTAGTGGAAGTGAAGAGAACTAGAGCAGAACAAAACTAGAATAGAACAGAACTGGAACAGAACAGAACTAGAACTAACAGAACTAGAACAGAACTAGAACAGAACTAGAACAGAACTAGAACAGAACTAGAAACAGAACTAGAACAGAACTAGAACAGAACTAGAACAGAACTAGAACAGAACTAGAACAGAACTAGAACAGAACTAGAACAGAACTAGAACAGAACTAGAACAGAACTAGAACAGAACTAGAACAGAACTAGAACAGAACTAGAACAGAACTAGAACAGAACTAGAACAGAACTAGAACAGAACTAGAACAGAACTAGAACAGAAATAGAACAGAACTAGAACAGAACTAGAACAGAACTAGAACAGAACTAGAACAGAACTAGAACAGAACTAGAACAGAACTAGAACAGAACTAGAACAGAACTAGAACAAACTAGAACAGAACTAGAACAAAACTAGAACAGAACTAGAACAGAACAGAACTAGAACAGAACTAGAACAGAACAGAACAGAACTAGAACAGACAGAACAGAACTAGAACAGAACTAGAACAGAACTAGAACAGAACTAGAACAGAACTAGAACAGAACTAGAACAGAACTAGAACAGAACTAGAACAGAACTAGAACAGAACTAGAAAGAACTAGAACAGAACTAGATCAGAACTAGAACAGACTAGAACAGAACTAGAACAGAACTAGACAGAACTAGAACAGAACTAGAACAGAACTAGAACAGAACTAGAACAGAACTAGAACAGAACTAGAACAGAACTAGAACAGAACAGTAGAACAGAACTAGAACAGAACTAGAACAGAACTAGAACAGAACTGAACAGAACTAGAACAGAACTAGAACACGAACTAGAACAGAAACTAGAACAGAACTAGAACGAACTAGAACAGAACTAGAACAGAACTAGAACAGAACTAGAACAGAATAGAACAGAACTAGAACAGAACTAGAAACAGAACTAGAACAGAACTAGACAGAACTAGAACAGAACTAGAACAGAACTAGAACAGAACTAGAACAGAACTAGAACAGAACTAGAACAGAACTAGAACAGAACTAGAACAGAACTAGAACAGAACTAGAACAGAACTAGAACAGAACTAGAACAGAACTTAGAAACAGAACTAGAACAGAAACTAGAACAGAACTAGAACAGAACTAGAACAGAAACTAGAACAGAACTAGAACAGAACTAGAACAGAACTAGAACAGAACTAGAACAGAACTAGAACAGAACTAGAACAGAATAGAACAGACATAGAACAGAACTAGAACAGAACTAGAACAGAACTAGAACAGAACTAACAACTAGAACAGAACTAGAACAGAACTAGAACAAAACTAGAACAGAACTAGAACAGAACTAGAACGAACTAGAACAGAACTAGAACAGAACAGAACAGAACTAGAACAGTACAGAACAGAACTAGAACAGAACTAGAACAGAACTAGAACAGAACTAGAACAGAACTAGAACAGAACTAGAACAGAACTAGAACAGAACTAGAACAGAAACTAGAACAGAAATAGAACAGAACTAGAACAGAACTAGAACAGAACTAGGACAGAACTAGAAACAGAACTAGAACAGAACTAGAACAGAACTAGAATAGAACTAGAACAGAACTAGAACAGAACTAGAACAGAACTAGAACAGAACTTGAACAGAACTAGAACAGAACTTGAACAGAACTAGAACAGAACTAGAACAGAAATAGAACAGAACTAGAACAGAACTAGAACAGAACTAGAACAGAACTAGGACAGAACTAGAACAGAACTAGAACAGAACTAGAACAGAACTAGAACAGAAATAGAACAGAAATAGAATAAACAGAACTAGAACAGAACTAGAACAGAACTAGAACAGAACTAGAACAAAACTAGAACAAAACTAGAACAGAACTAGAACAGAACTAGAACAGATCTAGAACAGAAACTAGAACAGAACTAGAACAGAACTAGAAAAGAACTAGAACAGAACTAGAACAGAACTAGAACAGAACTAGAACAGAACTAGAACTAGAACAGAACTAGAACAGAACTAGAACAGAACTAGAACAGAACTAGAACAGAACTAGAAACAGAACTAGAACAGAACTAGAACAGAACTAGAACAGAACTAGAACAGAACTAGAACAGAACTAGAACAGAACTAGAACAGAAACTAGAACAGAACTAGGTCAGAACTAGAACAGGACTAGAACAGAACTAAAACAGAACTAAAACAGAACTAGAACAGAACTAGAACAGAACTAGAACGACTAGAACAGAACAGAACAGAACTAGAACAGAACTAGAACAGAACTAGAACAGAACGGAACTAGTACAGAACTAGGACAGAACTAAAACTAAACTAGAACTGAAATAGAACTGATCTAGAGTTAAAGCTCCCAATTATTCATTTAAATTTGCGTTGCCGCTATTATTGTTGCCTTTACTGCCTTCAACATACTGATTTTGAACTGATATCATGGTCGCTGGTCGAAAGCAGCAGCAACAAAAATATCTGCTATCAACTCTTTGTTGCAATTAGCAAACAAACACCCTTTTTTGTAAGGAACCAAAGAAATTAGTTTGTATTTAACAGCAGAACAGTAGTAATTAAAAGTTAAGAGAGAAGGAAAAAGCTCAAAAAGAAGCCAAAAAAAACTTAAATTCTTTGCAGTAAAATAGAAAATAAACTCAGTTTAAACCAAAAGTATGCTATACAAATTAGCATATTTAGTAAAAACAAGAAGACTATAAAAATATGGAAAAGTTTATCCTAAAAGTAGGCTATAATTTAGTCAAGTGATACTTAAATTGTTTAGATATTTTGTTTTGCTGGAAAGCAGCCTAAAAGTATGCCAAAGGAGTTATTAAATATAATTGTATAAATTAAGCAAAATATTTAAAAAAGGAAATTAAAAAAAGGAAAAATATAAAAAAAGCAAATGCCCCGAGTGAGGCTCGAACTCACGACCTTAAGATTATGAGACTTACGCGCTGCCTACTGCGCCATCGAGGCTATAAGTTCGGGAAATTAGGTAATAAATTTAGATTAAAAATTATAAAGTTTCTATAACAAAATTTTCCAAAATCTACTGCTTCCTTTGAAAGGAAATTTTTTAATGAATGAATAAACTTTTTATTATAAAAGGAGTCCAAAAAAAAGTTTAATGCCCCGAGTGAGGCTCGAACTCACGACCTTAAGATTATGAGACTTACGCGCTGCCTACTGCGCCATCGAGGCTATGTGTGTGAGCGTGACAAAGAACTATTTTGTCATTGCTTTTAAAGGAAAATGAAAATGGAACTTATTATATAATTTGTGAAAATTTTATTAATAAAATTGGAAAGATAACCCCTAGAGATGCACTTTTGATCTTAAAATTTAAATGTCTGATAATAAGAATGTATGTATTTTAAATGCAACTAGCAACACATTTTAAATGTTGTTAAAAGTTATCAATTTAAAAAAAAAGTTTTTAAACCAAAATTTTTGTAAAGTTTTCTTTAAAAAATTTTATTTATTTAATTTTCTCTTTAATATTAAAAATTCTATGTTTTTCTTAATTGTCCTGAGAGAAAAAAGTTAATGCCCCGAGTGAGGCTCGAACTCACGACCTTAAGATTATGAGACTTACGCGCTGCCTACTGCGCCATCGAGGCTATGAGATGTTGTGTTGAAAGAGAACTTTCATAATGCTCTCTTTCTTTAGCACTTGTTCTCTAAAAGTGACATTAAAAGGTGTGAAATTATTAATTTATAACTTAATTAATGAAAAGAAACTGAACTTCAATAAAATTGTTGTTTTCAAAAACATCGCACATATTTTTACAGAAAATACAATGTTTTTTATAACATCGCAACTTTTTCTTAATATTATTCTACGTTTTTTACAACATCGCAAGATTTTTTCAAGAAAATTCGATGTTTTTAATAACATCGCAACGTTTTCTTAATATTATTCTTTGTTTTTTAAAACATTCATTTGTCTAGAAAATAATATGTTATTAAAAACATCGCATCATTTGCTAAAGATATTTTTAAGTTTTCAACAACATCGCACAATTTTCTTAAGATAATTGTTCCATTGTTCCCACTATTTTTTATAGATAATTCGATGTTTTCGATAACATCGCATATTTTTTAACCAAAAAAATCGATGATTTTAATAACATCGCACATCATTTTAAAGCAAATTCTATGTTTTTTAAAACATCGCAGTGTTTTCTATGTGCAATTCTTTGTTTTCAAAAATATCGCATATATTTTTAAAACAAAGTCTGTGTTTTTAATAACATCGCACACAACTTTAAAGCAAATTCTATGTTTTTGAAAACATCGCATCATTTTCCAAAAGTAATTCCATTTTTTCAATAACATCGCATATATTTAAAAAAAAAAAAACGTAGTTTTAAATAACATCGCAC